CTGCCCCTGTGGGTTTCTGAGACTTCACGAGAGTAGAAAGCCCCATCTTTCTTCCACAGAGTGGCTGGTGGTTTTGAACTGCTGACCTTACAGATGGCAGTACAATTCATAACCACCAAGCCCCCTGGGCTCCTATCATTTAGCCAGTCCATCATCCAGGGAACAGTGTAGGAGTCTGCAGCCCGTCCCCCGCCACCAGGGGGCGGTATGCTCGCGTTGGGAAACACTGATCTAAGCTTTCAAAGTGCAGATGCTCCGCTGCCGGCTCCTCGCGGAGCATGGAGACCTTGCAGCTGCCTGCTGCAGACCCCAGCCCAGGATCCAGGCCCCCAGCCCTGAACATCTCCTCCTGGCTTCTGCCCGATGCTAGGCCGGGGCCACAGATCCATGGAAGGCACACAGTGTCATGACATGTCCGTGGGGTCACAGGCTGGCTTCCTTCTGCCTCCAGTGCTTCCTGGGCCGTCACCCCTTCAGGGTCTGGGGTTTGAGGGGACACAAACTGCACGAGCGCGGTCCTAAGCACAGCAGAGCAGGAGCCCATGTGATGGCTCCCACGGTTAAGTGCTAGGATGCCAAGGGAGCCCACCCAGTGGCTCAGCGGGAGAAAGACCTAAAGCCAACAGCATGGAGCCCCCCGGGGGGACAGTTGCAGTCTGACACGGGGTAGGCATCAACGCTGTGGCACAGGACAATAACAAAGGTAGAACCAATAAGCTAACATCTGCCCAAGCAAACAAAACCCAAACTCAACATCGACTCAGGCAGAGTAGAACTGCCCCTGTGGGTTTCTGAGACTGTAAATAACACTTTTTTTGGCGGGGGGTGGGGTGGGGCGGGGTGGGAAGAGTAGAAAGCCTCATCTTTCTTCCTCAAAGCGAGCAGTGGTGGTTTCAAACTGCTGACCTCATAGTTAGTAGCCAAACTCTTAACCCGCTGCACCACCAGGGCTCCCCAACCTGCTGCGGTCAAAGGATGGCTTCAGTATTCCCGAACCCTTCAGAGAGGGCTCAGCATTAGCGTTCCGTTCCCCTGTCCCTCCGGTTCCCAGGCCAGCTGCCCTTTTTGATTTGAGCTCGTGCACAGGGCTCACGGTCAGCAACCTCTCCCTGAGGCTCCAGGTCATTGTGCGCGTGCGCGCGCGCACGCACTGTAGCCACTGGTCACTTCCGGCTCGTGACGGCCCTGCGGAGCTAGGCGTAGCACTGTGCTCCGTAGGGACCTTCGATGGCTGGTTTCTTGGACGTCGATCGCCAGGCCTTTCTTCTGGGCTCCCTGTGGGGAACTCGAGCCTCCAACCCTCCGGTCAGCGGCGGGCATCTTATCCCTTTGCCCCTTCCAGGGACGCCCTGTGACGAGGCTCCGTTTCACGATGTCCTTGGCGCCCCCCCCCCCCATCCCCTGATTGTGTCCGCTTGCGCTAGTCGCTCCGCGTTCCTCGCAGGCTTCCAGGCGGAGGTCAGGCCCCGGCCCCGGCCCTGGCCTGAGCGCCCCCAACCCCCATCTTGCAGATTCTGGGCATGGCCTTCTCCATGACCCTCTTCCAACACATCCACCGGACGGGGAAGAAATACGACGCGTGAGCGGCGGCAGGGCGCGCCCCAGCCCCCCAGCCAGACACTGCCCGAGGGAAGAAGATTTGAGCTTTGTGTTGGCTGCCCGCATTCTCCAGACTGCTGACCCCTGCACCCACCTCCCCGCTGCCTGCCCTCCCCGCTCCCTGCCCACCCACCCGGCTGGCCTGAGACTTCCCATGATGGAGGACAGGGAGGAGGAGGCGAGCAGAGACCTCGGGAGCCGGGGCGCCGCACTTACCCCCCTGCATCAGTGTATTTGCCAAAGAAGACAGGGTGGGCTGGGGCCAGCCGGAGGAGGGATGCCCCCTGGCACTGGCGAGTTTCTGCCCCTGCCCCTCCTCACACTGACACGGTCCCTCCAGGTGGAGAGACTGCCCCTGCAGACCCCCTTGCTGCCCATGCCACCCCATGTGGATGTGCAGGGGCTGGTGGGGTGTGTGTATGTGTGTGGTGGGGGCCCTGCCCAGGCCAGACCAGACCCCTGGGAGCATCTTGCCCAGGCTTTTTATACCTTATCCAGTATAACTTTTTTATTTTAATTTACTCCGATTATGATTATTCGGGAATATTATCTCACAGATACGTTTAGGGTTAGCTTTCTGATTTATAACTTTTTACTGCATCGATTTCTTTAATGGTTTGGTTTTGTGACCCCCCTCGGGTTGGGGGGTGGGGTGGGTGGGGAGAGAGGACACTGCCCAGTTGCCATCAGGACAAACCACTGTGCCACACTCAGGAGGCCTTCGGGTGAGACTGCCAGGCCTTTGCTGCTTTGCTCCTGTGCTCCGATGCCCTGAGGAGGAGCAGCGTGTGCTTGGACGGAGGGTCCTGGCTGAGGATGGTGCTCCCTGCCCCGGCGCCTGGGACTCTGTGCTGGGGTGGAAGGGCCTGGAAGAGCCGCTGAAGTTGCAGGCAGAGCAAGGAAGAGGATGCCGCTCGGAGCAGTGCCTTTGCCGGGGATGCCGCCAGACTGCGAGGGTCCTTCCACTTCTGTCGACATACCTCCCTTCTCCTGCCCTCTGCAGCCCCGGGGGCTCCCCTTCCTTCTGTCCTGTGGGCAGCCCGGCGCCCGGTCCTGCACACCGTTTCTCTCACAGACATTCCTGCTAGAAACTCAGACAAATACCTCTCTAGTTCAGATGCTGCTCACTTCTTACATTGCTCCTGGAAGGGGAAGCAGCCCTTGGTGTCCGCTGCTCGGACGGTGGCAGAGGACCGGTGGCCACCAGGAGGCCGTCCCAGCCAGAACCACGTTCGCTGCCTGATTGCCCTGCTGGGGAGAGGGGAGCCAGCTGCCCATCGGGTCTTAGGACCCTCATCTCAGAGCTCAGCCAGCTCAGTGGTGGGGCCTTGGGGAGCAGGAGGGACCTCCCGGATCGGCGACAGAGCAGTCAGACTGGATCTTGTTACAGCTGGCCCATGGCCTGAAGTCCTGGTGTGCGGCGTAGGGCGGGGCGACCGGCTGCAGGATGATCTGACCTCAGCTGGCATTGGAGAACATCGTTTGCAGTTAAAGTCGGTCAAGAATCCATGAGACTAGGCTAGAAAATGCTTACCCCCTGCTAGCCCCAGGCTGGTGGGGCCCCTGTGTGTGCAGCAGTCTTGTACCTCTTAAGAGTTAGCCCTTGACTGGCATTTCCTGCTGGGGATGGGTTTCTTCTCCATCATCCTGTTCTAAGATCCAAGCCAGGGCCTCTCCGTAAGTCATCTCTTCACCTTAATACCATGCCCACCGGGACCAGGAGAATTGGACTTTGGGGTGTGTTTTAGGATTCATGCTTTTTTTTTGCGGGGTGGTCAAGGTGAAGGTGGAGAGCAGGGCCGTCTCAGAGAGCTGGGCAGCACCCAGGCCACTTCCCATCAGCCAGGAAGGAGGTTCCAGGTGGCGGCAGTAAGACACAGCTGCCTTCCTCCCTCTCCGGCCGTCTTCCTGGCCAGGCGAAGCTTCCGCTGCCTGCCGGCCAGGAGCCCCAAACCAAGGAGCATGGAGCAGACAGCTGCAGAGACATGGGGCAAATGCCTTCAGGCGGCTCTGTGGGGCCTGGGACAGTTTTTCTGCTGGGGGTGGGGAAGAGTGGGTTTGTTTATGCCTACCAATGCAATTTTTCTCATTTTTATTAAATTCAACAGCAAACACCTAGTGCAGTGGGAGCCGGCTGGCCCCCAGCATCCTCTGGCCCTGGCGCCTCTGCTACAGCCCCTTCCTTCCCCACCAGACCCCACCCTTAGCCCTTCCCATAGGTCTCCACACTGCTTTCTCCACCTCGGCTCTGGGCTTGGCTGCCACCGGGCTGAGTCTACACTGCGCCCAGGTCTCTGCGGAGTCCCCCAGGCCATGCAGGAAGGCTGACCTGAGGGGCCAGCGATCAGCGCCTTCCCAGCTGCGCCTGACTTGGGTCTCCCCACCCTCTGCTCCTCCTGCTCAAGCCTCCTTCCAGCAGGCCCCACACAAGCAGTGGGATGGCTCGACCCGGAAGTCCCCAGCATCTTGAGGTGGCGGAAGGGAGGCCGGGTGCAGACTCACCCTTCTGCTGCCTGTGGTTGTCACAGAGGGTGTGGGGGCAGGCCCGAGGACTGCCCCGTTCAGAGAGTGGGCTGCAGGGACTGGGCACAAGTCTCTGCTCACTGCCCCTCACCCGCAGCTGCTCCTCTGCTGCCCGGCCCCACCCGTCAGCAGGGTGGGGGGGCCTGTGTCATGGCGCTCAGGCTGGGACAGCTGCCACCACGCCCCAGACCACAGGCCCCCTTGCAGACACTCTGACTTGGGACGAGGTGGCCATCCATCCTTGCTTTGATGGCCCAAGAGCAATCCAAGCGGTGGAAGTAGCTATGCCCTCCTTTCCAGCTCCCCTGCCCACCCACTGGTGGAGGTGCTATCTAGCAGGGACTTGGTATAGGATGGGAGCTGGGTGCTCCGGGCCATTCCTTGTCCGTGCTTCAGTCCTTCCAGCCCCTTCACCCCGCCCCACCCCGCCCCCAGTTCACACCATCCATTTCTCCCTCATGCAGGGATGCATCCGGGAGACCTCTGCCCAGCCACCCCTGGGGCAGGTTGGGACAGCTTGCCTGTGGGTTTCACATGCACTTTTCTGCTTGCAGTGCCACTCCCTGCGCCACCTCCGTCCTGGTCCCGGCTTACTTAACACCATGTTTTTAGCATGTTTTTAAGTAAAAACCGATAATGTGTCAAAAGCACAAGCAGGCAGTCTCTGTGTTTTTGTGAATTCAGCCACCCCACAGGGTCCCAGAGGGGGACTCAGCGCCAGCCTTACCTGGCGGCAGGACAGCCACAGCGAGGCCCTCTGCTCCCCCTCCAGGCTGCAGGTTGCCAGTGGGCTGGGGGGGGGGGCGGGGGTTGGGTCTCTGGCCTCCCCAGGTGCCTGAGGACCCTGTTGTCTTTGCTGTTGATGCTGACCCAACATGGGACATCGAGACTCTCCTCACAGGTGTCCAAGGTCAGCTGTGTGAATCCCACCAGCCTCTCCGTGGGAATAAGATGAGGCAATCCCAGAAGCCCTAGGGAGGAGGGCTCGTTGATGGGTCCTGCCAGACCAGAGTGGGAATTGGCCAAATGGCAGAGGGGTTTTGAGTCTTCACGGGAGCAGGTGGTTGGGTCTTTTCCAGGGAACTGGAGGTGGGTTTGCATGGCCAACCTTAACCTGGCCCCTTGGAGGAACTAGCTGCCCCCTTGTCGGCTGTGCCAGTGCGAGCTTGGTCCAGAGTCAGTCTAATGGCCATGCCCTCTGCACCTGGGACCGTCTCCCCACCTGTGCAGTGCCCACTCCCTTACACAGGCCCAGTTTGTGGGTTGGGGCTCGTCTGAGCCTGAAGGCTCTTCCAGGAATGGAAGACTTCACATCCTGGCCTGGCCCACGTGGTCCATCGAGGTTGGCTCTGAGACAGGTGCAAGAAGATGGTCTTCCTGTCTTTGCATGGCCTGGTCAGGCTGGTAAAGCATCACCCAGGGTTCAGGTTCACCGTCCAAGGTCCCCCGGTCCTCTGGGTCAGGAGCAGGTTATGACTCTGGTGAATGGCGGTGACCTTGTACTGCCTGGGGAGGGAGAAGCCATAGAGGTGAGAGGTGGAAGTCACTTCCTCTCGGTCCATCCTCCCTTGTCCCCTAGGTCTGGGGGACACTTGCTGGGGTACCCGCCAGGTGAGTGTGATGATGGATGGGAGACAGCAGGGGCTCACAGAGCAATGGCCCCACTGTTAGCTCTAGGCTCGAGAAAGCTCAGCTGGGAGGGCCTGCTGCCCTGACCAGGCAGGGCAAGATGTTCCTGTCCGACCAACATTGCCGGTGTCTGTCTTCTTGGCTCTGGCGATGGCTGAAGAATAGGCTAGAGTCACCTGAGATGGGCTTAGGCTTTCAGCCCACGGGAGGGAAGGTGGCAGAGCTGTCTCTGGAGACCCCTCTACTCATGCCTACACCAGGCGGTGCGAGAACCCCCTCCCTGTCCCGGCCCAGCCGCAGCAGGTTGGCGCAGGGCTGCCGGGCTCCTCGCACGGACCACACACACAGGCTTGCAGCCATAAGGCGGACTCACTCCAACACGGCGTGCTGGTCCTGCTGGTGCCCAGCCGCTAACCGAGAGACGGGCAGTTCCAACCCACCCAGTGGGCAAACCTGGTGATATGCCCCCAACAGACACAGCCCAGGACACCCAGCGGGGCAGTTCCAGCTGACTCTGCCACGTGAGGTCACTTTGAGTTGGAATCCGGCCCAGGCCTCCAATCCCTGACACGGGCCAGCGGCTGGAGCACAGGGCTAGGCGGCACGGACCTCAGGCCTGCACCCACGGAGCTGCAGCTGAGTGGGACCCTCAGACAGTAACCAGGCAGTCCCACCTGTGTGCTGTGCTAGTGAGGGGTGCAGGGGGCCATGGGGAGGGGCACCGACCCAAACCTGAGAGGGCCAGGCTTTGCCTGGCCAGAGGCATAGGGGCTCACTTGGCCAAGGGGTCGAGGAAGTGCGTCTGCATCGTAGACAGAAGGAACGGTGCGTGCGTGCGTGCGTGCTAGGGTCCAGAGTTGGGAGCAGAGAACTAACCGAACGAAGTTCTGGGGAGGGTGGCAGCAGCCAGATCACCAGCTGACCACCTAGTATGGTGAAAGAGCCAGAATTTGAAGCAAAGAGCCGTGGGCACCTGCTGGCAGGTTTTAAGCCCAGGCTCTGGCCTAGCCATTAGAAAGACTGCTTCAGGGGAAAATGGTGTGAGGGCAGCAAGAGTGGACGCCCAGGGGATAGACCTGAGGGAAGTGGCTGTGAGCTGAGGGTAAAGTACAGTTGGGGGGGGGGCATGCAGGACAAGTGACAAGTTAGATCTGTTGGGGGACAGGAGCCACCGTGCCACTCACCCAGCATGGCCTCCTTCCCCGGGACAGGCAGGTGGATGATGAATTGTTTGCGCCCAGTGAAGGAACGTGTCTACTCCCGGGCCTCAGGGCTCCTGGGCAGAGACCAACCTCCGGAGTGCCATGCGCTCTGAGTGGCCCTGTCGGGCAGAGTAGAACGGTCC